CTAGAATTGAGTAGGACTACGTCAGGCTAGATTTTATTGCGATTTAACATGTTTTTCAATTCTAAAGGAGCTTAATTCCATGAATGTGTTGCATCAGTAATTTAAAATGATATTAAACATTTACAATTTAAAATTACATGCAGACAACAAACTCAATATTTTGTTGATTTGATTTAGTGATAAAAAAAAAAGATACAGAATAATAAGTAAATGGTTTTACCAACCCAGGATAAGCTTTGTCCTGATATAAAAATGACTTTTTAAACTATTTTATTTTTTGTTTTTTATGAATTTAGATACTTGTAAGAAAAAAAGTGATAAACATTACCAGGGTCACCTACTCTAGTATATCTGAGCTTTGGGCTCAGGACAGACTGAAGGACAGACATGAACAAAGGCTGCCCGGTAACCTTGGAAACCAAAGAAAGCTGGAAAACAGAAAGGAGGCCTGATATTCCACTTTCACTCACAAAACCCAAATATCTCACATGAGGCCTTCCAAACTAACAGGCAACTGAAACTTCTGCTGGAATTTATTTTTTTTTTCCTCCCTCTTTTTTTGGACTGAGAAGCATTTCCTCTTGGAAGGCAACAAGCTGAAAACTGTCTGGCTTTTCTGACTCACATTGTTCTTTAAAAAATTAAAAACTTTAAAAATGTCCAACATTCTCTTATTTGTGTAAATATTATCACACAAATATTACGTAAATACATGGAAAACAAATCTACCAAAGACCAAGATCACAGTTTGGATTGTTAAGCATTTAGATGGATTTGTGCAAAAACTGATGGATTTCATAGAAAAGATGGAGGATTCTCAGGAGCACATTAGATTTTCCTAAATATTTGAGGAATCTCTGCTTCTTAACATGTCTTTCTGAGTTCTCTGAGTGCAAACATTACCTCCACCTCAACATCTCAGCTGCCTGTCAAATGACTAATGGTTTTCCTAAGACGTTTGTCCAAAGTCACAAACTCCTGCTGTGAGTTTAAATCAGATCTTTTTTTTTAAAATCTACTTTTAAAACAGGTTTCCTTTTGATATTTTTTTTCATGATCAGCATTGAATTGAATGTACAAAATCTAATTTTTTCATCTTTTTTTATGCATGCACCCGTAACTCACTCACAAACTACAGCATCCTAATGGCATAGTATTTGTTATTTAAACTTTATTTTAGCTAGATATAATATTTCTGTGTATATCTACCAAAACAACATCATGTGATTGGGATTATGCCACTGTGCACGGATACAACTGATCAATAATCCAAAGAAATTAGGCTAACAAGTCTGGAAACTCCCATGGTATAGGAGAAACAAACAAAAAGTTCAAGATCAAATGTTAAAAGAGCAAAGAAGATGCTTGATTCCAAAGAGCTGAGAAAACAGTCTGACTGTTGGCGTTTACCAAAGCTGTAGCTAAAGATCAGGAAGCATTCTGATGTTGCAAATGAAGGTGATAGATATGCGAGCATGTTTTTTTTTTGCAAAAAGTGCTACTGGTGTTACAAAAGTTTTAAGCATCATCCTCTGAGCTGCCAGTTTTCTGCGAGGCATTCCTGCAGTCAGGACTTATTTAGAAGCTGTATCAATGGCCAACATCTGGTTTTCTGGTAGTTCATTAATAATGTCACCAGCTCTTTTAATGTCCACTCATCGTGCTGGGGTTCTATATGGGCTAAAAAATTACAACCTAAACACTATTATGACGGAGGGTTTTTAATATAAAGCCTCATTTTATCATAATCAACTGGATTTGGTTCTTTTTGGAATAGGCATATGATGCCACTATGAACCTTTGAGTGATTTAACAGCCTGAGCCCAAAACACCCAACTGAACTGATGCAGTGACATCCTACAGCTTGTAAACGTACATACCTCGCTCTGGGTCCAACAGAGGGCTGGACTGTTTGGTGTCCGGCGGAGATTCTGAACGGCAGATGGGGAAACGGAGGAAAGAACACAGGCAAGCCAAAGAAAGGGAGGAAAAGATGAGAAGACGATGGACATAGAGAATAAGGGGTTTTCTTTCTACTCTTCACTGGTTTTGATCGTATCTGGTGAGCCATTAGAAAACACAAATCATCAAATGAAGGAAGTTTCAGGTAAACAAAACCAGAACATCTAAGGCTTAATAAGATCCACTTACATGTTCTGGGTCTACAAAATAAAAAAAACTAGGACTTCTAATCTAATCTATCAAAACACAGAAGTTTAATGGACATCTTGGCATGAAGCAGCGTACATATTATTGACTCAGAGCTTGTTGTATATTTAAATAACTACACCGGAGGATCCCAAAGGAGACAGCTGCAGAGCAGGACAGAGCTTGGCCTAATTACGGCTGCAGGCGGAGCTGCTTTGTCTGGACTACATTTAAAACTGTGTGATCAGCCAGGTTTCCAGTGTCTGAGGCATTGTACACGTTTCTGTTTTTTGTTGTTGTTGGTTTCTGAAAGTGTGCTGAAGGAGAGCTAAATGACGTGTGTCCTCTGCTGAACAGGAAGCATACAACAGTGACTAATAAACTCTACCCGTAATGCTGGACTTCTTCAGAGAAGCGAGGACAGATCTGGAGAGGACGGCTACCAGAGAGCAGTGGTGACACAAAAGGAAATAGAAAATGTCAGGAAAGATGTGTTAAAGATTTAAATGCTTGATTTCAGATTTGAAAAAAAGTCATGAAGTCATTTCAGTATATTAAGATGCACTAAGTTGCATTTTGAAATCCAAAGCTTGTGCTAAAGAACCTCCTTGTTGGCACAACTTTCACTCACTAACTAACTTAAAAAGCCAAACCAAACTCAAACTCATAACACAAGCCTGTTGGGTTAAATCCTAACAACATTGATCTGTACTTATCAGTCTGGTTAAATAAAAAATAACAGGTTTATTAATTTTTTAACCTGGTAGTCCCCCAGCTTAGTCCTCTCATGTTGGGTTGCTTCCATACTGCCATTTGGCCCATAGGCCAAAACAACAGCCGGGGGGCGGGGGGTCTCTGGCTGTTGTTTTGGCCTATGGACCAAATGGCAGGATGGAGCACCAGGCCTTCTTCCTACCGAGCAAAAATTGGAAACAACAGTGTGCCCATGGAGGGAAGTGATCGGTAGGAATGGACCCCCAGCTCTGAACCAGAGTGTTTTTTCATCATTGGACTAATGTGCAAGTGAAAGATTGTCCATAATGAAGACCTAGTTTGAGCATAAGGTGTCCATTAATGCACCTGGCACCAGGACGCCCCATGCCAGAGGTCAACGATCGACTTTGTAGTTTTATCTTCTGTAGTTTTTATCTTCTAATGTCAATGGGATCTGGAGGAGATCCACCCTGAGTACCTTAGAGCTTTGGAGGTCGGAAATAGTGCCCATGGATTGGCAGACTAGGGTGGTAGTTGCTCTACACAAGAAGGCGGACCAAAGGGAGAGATCCAACTATAGGGGGAAGCACACTTCTCAGCCTCCCCAGGAAGGACTGTTTCAGGATGCTGGAGAGGAGAGTCTGGCTGATAGTCGTACCTCGGCTTCAGGAGGAGCAGTGTGGTTTTTGTCCTGGCCTGGGAACAGTGGATCAGCTCCACACTCTGCAAGGTACTCAAGGTGTCATGGGAGTTTGCCCAAGCAGTCCAGATGTATTTTTCTGGACCTGGAGAAGGAATTCGACTGGGTTTCAGGAGTACGGAGTCCGAGGCCCTATACTAGATCCCATTTGGTCTCTGTACAAGCAGAGCAGGCGTCTGGTCCACATTGGCATTAAATAGGAACTGCTCCCACGGCATGTTGGACTCCGACAGGGCGGGCTGTCCTCTGTCACCGGTTCTGTTCATAACCTTTATGGACAGGATTCTAGCCGCAGCCAAAGACTGGAGGGGATCTGGTTGGGAGACCAGCGGATCTCGTCCCTACTGTGAGAGGATGCTGTGGTTCTGCTGGCTCCCTCCTGCTAAGACCTACAGCATGCACTGAGATGGTTTGAAGCAGAGCGTGAAGGTGGCCAAGGTTCTCGAATGGAAAAAGGTGGCTGTCTGTCGTGGTTCAGAGAAAGCTGAGCGAAAGGCAAACCTCTCAATTTACTGGCTGGTCTACATTCCCTCATCTATGGTCATGAAATCTGAATCGTGGCCGACAGTGGTTAGCAATGTTGCCTTGCAGTAAGAAGGTTGCGGTTACGATTCCCGGCCCGGGGTCTTTCTGCATGGAGTTTGCATGTTCTCCCTGAGCATGTATAGATTCTCTCTGGGTACTCTGGCTTCCTCACACAATCCAAAAACATGACTGTTAGGTTAATTGGCTGCCCTAAATTCTCCATAGGTATGAGAGTGTGCATGAATGGTTGTTTGTCCTGCTTGTCTCTGTGTTGCCCTGCAATAGACTGGCAACCTGTCCAGAGTGTACCCTGCCTCTCGCCCGTAGACAGCTGGAGAGGAGCACCAACACCCCTTGCGACCCCGCTTGGGATAAGGTTGACGGAAAATTGATAGATGCATGACGGCTGGGGTCTCCCTAAGAGATAGGGAAGTCTTGGAAGTCTAAAAGTCTCTGCTGCGATTGACCCCCCAACCCCATACTGCTCCCAGATGGGAGACGTTGAGTTAAAATACAGAGGAAAGAATTTTCCAAATTTTTTTTGTTAAGTGCTCAGGTCTAACTTATCACATCTGGTTATGGTAACACTTTTATTTTCAAATTGGCATATAGATTCTACATTAGATGTCTAACTTAGTCCTTCTATTGTTCACATATTCATTACTGCAAATGGATTATAGTCATGCATTCTTAACTTAAATTATATTTTAGTAACTTCTCTATAAAACATTGAAAACATAAAAAATAAGGAAAAATATGCTATGACTATGAGATGTCTAAATATTTATTTTAAAATGCCCTTAGTTTCATGTTTTCCCCCTTGCATTTTGATCCGGCTGGACTTATTCCCCCCACATGTTGTTGTATGTTCTGAGTGTTTTTTAATAAACCTGTCGTCACTTAAGATATGTCTTGCACACAGTTAATCATCTTGTTTGATTACCCTTGCTTATTTTGTAAATAAGGTAAACAATAAAAAAAAAAAAGTAAGCTCCAGTGCCTGTGTTGAGAAAACTTGTTTTCAGTAGTAATTTTTGAAATAGTTTATATTTTACTGTACATGGAGGGACACTTATTGCAGTTTAGAAATATATTTTGTAGCAGTAACATCACAAAAACATGGATAGGTTCTGTCACTTTCAATGTCTACATTACAATGTGGGGGGAAATTACTATCCCAGTTCTCCAGACTTTGCATGCTTGTGACCTACACACTCAAAAGCTTAAGTGCACTTCCTCCAGGTGCACACTTCATAGTGTTTTATGTGAGTGTTGAGACTGGGCCATGGGCCATGGAGAAGTTTGTCATCAGATTAAAAAGAAAAATGGAGGGGTTTCGAGAAATGGAGTAGAACATAAAATCCAAAATATGATAATCCTTCCTTACCGTTGGACTCATCATTAATACAGTGGAAAATTATGAAAGAAATGTCGATAGCACAAAACCAAGCAAACTGAGACACAACCTGGAGAATTTGCACCCCAGTTATACCAGTAAATAATTGGACTTATTTCTTTTAACCTTTCATGAATCAATGATGGCATCATCTCCTCAGTAGCCATAAAGTTCTGCAGAGGCCTTATGTTTATGGAGATTAGGTGTGTGGAGACAGGGAAACGTTTCAAAAATGCATGTTTGAAATTATTTAAATGATAAAACAAGCAGGTCCTGAGGACCAGCCTTACAGAGCACTGATGTAGAGAAATGCAAATATTATGTAGTTGAACCTTTTTTACTGAGTGAAAGGGAAAGCGCTGATGAGACAAAGGTTTAATGTGCTTCCAGAAAAAAAAAAATCAATATTGAAAGTTCTACAAAAATGCGCTTCCTACTGATTCATTAACTCTTAATATATAAGAAAATCATTATCAGGTAATCAATTTAAGGGGGTAGTATGAACAGAAAAAAAACTCAGACACTGCACCATAGAGTGGCTGGAATGAGACTATTAAAGTGAAGGTTGGACAAGAGTCGCTGCTCCTCTACATGAAGAAGAGTCAGCTGAGGTGTTTCCAACCTAGGGGAGATCAATGTGTGTGACTCACCAGCACTCCCAGTGCCGCCTTCCCTGCCTTCTCTGCGACCCCTGGCACTGCTCTCTCTGCCTGACTTCACCCTCTGCCACAGAAACAATGGATGAAAAAATGAGGAAGATTTCACAAAAAAGAATAATAATAATAATAATAATAATTCAGGCAACCTGATTTGGCTCTCAATTCATTTATTGTAAATACTAACAGAGGGTTTTAACTCAAGTACATTTCTAAATCTGATGTTGAAGACAATCAATTTACATGACATTAACATAACTAGCAGTGTGTGTTTAACGGATTTCAAACAACAGCTGAGATTAGCTCACCTTCATGCTGATAATACAGAGTGTTAAAAAAACACAGGTTGTGTTAGGATACAAAACACTAACATTACTTGGTGAAGTAATGCAGGCCATCAGCTGCTTTTTTCCACAATTACGAAATAAACTTTCTGGTGCTGTTTTTCAATTTCAATTTAATTCAGTTTATTTCTATAGCGCCAATTCACAACACATGTCATCGCAAGGCACTTTACAGTTCACCAGATCATCCAGTCAAATTGATTCAAAGTTTTCTATCTAAGGAAAACCAGTTGATTGCATTGACTCATTGACTCAAATACAATCCCTCACACTAAGCATGTTTGTAGCGACAGTGGAGAGGAAAAACTCCCTTTTAACAGGAAGAAACCTCCAGCAGAACTGTCCGTTTCCCTGAAATCACTGATTTAGAACCAAATGTATGTGGTTTGATAAACTTGTCCTCCTGAATGAATCCTTAAGGTCTCCTGTGTTACCAGCATGTGATGGAACATTGGAGGGTCCTTCCCTTCTGCTGTGTATTTACAGCGAATGGAGAGAACATCTTAAAGGAAAATCCCATTCCTGAACAAGGGTCTAAATGTTCTCCTGGATGTCAGAGTTTTAACTCAATTCCAAGAAGGTTTCTAAGCAGCTGGCTTGCAGTTGTGCAACATCTCTTTGTAGCTGCTTTGAGAGATGATTAAAAAACAAACCGTATCAGGAAGACCAAGAAAAACAGCATACAGGGTGGGAACAAAAACAAAGAGGAGCTCCAAGATTTTTTTTTTTACCAAAAAACAAAAAATTTAAAACAATTTACCTTACAATTATGCACTATGTCATGTTGATCGATCCCAAAAAATCCCTAAAGAACGAATCGCGGTTTGTGGTTTTGACATGATGAAATGTGGGGAAAATGAAGGGATAAAAATAGTTTTATGAAGCACAGAAAATTATTATTTCAGGCATCGCTGAAATAACTCCCTTTGGTTCCAATGTGAAAACCTCCACATAAACTAAATTGTGTTAGAGGCTTAGGTTACCGACAGCCAGGCATTAAACAGCTGTTCAGAATCTGCTCTCCTGTCGACACAATCCGGTTCACGGAAAACAGCAGAGAAAATCATCTGGTCTCCACTTGTTTCCAGTAAAAAAAATTTTGCAGCAAAAAAGGGACACAAGCCTGATTTCACTCAGCATGTGGACGTAATTAAAAAACACAAGACAACAATTAAATACCACAGGTTATGGTGT